TGGAGGTCTGTGTGACCCTCCAAGGATATGCCTCCTCAGACCATCACTGACCCACTGCCAAACTGGATGGTGTTACAGGCAGCATAACATTCACCATGGCGTCTCCAGACTCTTTCACGTCTGTCACATGTGCCCATTGTGAACATGCTCTCGAGGCGCCAGTGGTGGACCTTCCAATTCTGGTGTTCTCTGGAATGCCAATGGAGCTGCATGGTGCTGGGCTGTGAGCACATGCCACCCTCATGGAGTCTGTTTCTGACAGTGTGGACAGAAACATGCACACCAGTAGCCTGCCGGAGGTCATGTTGTAGGGCTCTGGCTGCTCCTCCTGTTCCTCCTCACACAAAGGAGCAGATACCGGTGCTGCTGCTGGGTTGATGCCCTTCTACGGCCCTGTCCAGCTCTACAAATGTAAAGGAAGGACTCCTGGTATCTCCTCCATGATCTTGAGACTGTGCTGGGAGACACAGCAAACATTCGTATGGATGTGCCATCCTGGAGGAGCTGGACTACCTGTGCAACCTGACTGGGCTGCAGGTACGGCCTCATGCTACCAGTAGTGACAAGGACACTAGCAGAAGACCAAACTAGAGAAGAATCAGTCAGGAAGGATAAGGAAAGAGCAACTGTCTGTGGACACCAAATGTAAAAACATTACCTATTTGGAGGTTGTCTTGCTTTTGCCTCTCCATTGCACCTGTTGTCACTTTGATTTGCACCAAAGCAACTGAAACTGATTCACAATCACTTGTGCTTCCTGAATGGACACATTGATATCTCTGGAGTTTAACTGACTTCCTGTTAGACTGTGATGAATAAGTGATCCCTTAATTTTTTTGAGCAGTGTATTAATGTGTGTGTGGAACTCATCAGTGCAAGATAAAAAGGAAGCACCATGTAGTGTACTAGGCCCATGTGACGCCTGCGATCAGAGCCAAGTGTGTGTTGGGCTCAGTGTCAGACAACAAGCTGGAACAGACCTCTGCATGTGGAGTTCACTGAGGAGGGAGGAGGAATGTTTGAGTGGCTGGCACAGCAATCAAAGAAACCAAATCAACTCATCAGTCAGCCTCAAACAAACTCACAAACAGAATAATTAAATCTGGAATGAAACTGATTGAGGAAAACAAAATGGCCTTTTTGGAACTATGTTGTGTTTGACTGTGATTTTGCAGAAAATCAAGATCCAAACCACACGGTGCCACGCTCTGAGAATAATCTATTTCACTCTAGATTACAGAGCTAAAAGAATTTATTTATCTATCGCCAAAAATACAAGATAACTTTTTTATTTGAATAATTGTCTCAAGGTCGACTGTGTAAGATTTAGGGGGATTTAGTGGCATCGGGTGGTGAGGATTGCAGATTTCAACCACATGAAACTTCTTCTGGTAGAATTCCTTCACTGTGCTGAGGTTTTTACCAGAGCTGAATTATCAGCAGACCAGGTGATTAAAACAGGTGAAAACACTGAATAAAGCAGCTGCACGTTACAAATCAGTGTTTCTCTGCCACCGTTTGGCATGTCGCAGAGCACCTGCTAAAGTGTTCTCACCCACTTTCTCTGATAACCTAACATGTGCTCACCTTATTTCTGATCCAGATATTGATGCCTGGTTCACACTACACGATATCAGCTCGATTACAGCCCGATGCAGCGTCGTACGGTGTAGACTGGAATCCTAAACGACAATGAGTGTCGTACATGCTAATCCATTGTTTCTTCTTGTGTAGTGTGTCATAGTAGATGACAACCAATGCCACGTCCGGGACACCTCACAACATCCCGACAGAAAGTCTAGCATGTTTGATTTTCTTTTTGTCGTTCACGACTTCTCCCATCACAGCCGTCACTTTGACCAATAGGAACACAGAGCGATCTGCTGCATTGGAAACTGTACGACAACAGCCCAGCCTTTTTGATATTTCCTGTAGGGACCTTAGCACACAGAGTAAAAAGGAAACAGCAGAGGCACTTTATCAACTGTTAGCGTCAAGCTAGCAAACTGTTATTTCTTCATAATGGAGATGGGCATAAAGTAATGGAGTTAAAAAATACTTACCACAACTGCAGAGTACATTATAAACAGGCTGTTATTTATTATTCTCTCTGTATTTTTATATTATTACATTTTATCCGCTCCCGTTTGCCTTGATAAAGTTAATGCATGGCGCCATCATTTCAAACTCAACACTTTCTGTTTCACTTTTATATTAAAAGCCCCTTATAACTTGGGTTTATTTTCTAAAAAGGCTTTTATTGTGAAACATTTGCAGGAACTTGTTGTGGAAGATTCAGTGGCTTGTATGTTTGCATGCTGTGTTTTAGATCTAGCTCCTGCCATCTGGTGGCACTTTTACGTTACTACAGTAACATTTGAGCTGGTACATGAACAGACGCAGTGACTGAAATAATAGTAATGATAATAAAAATAGGACAAGAATCACCGGGGATAATTGGTGTGGACCAGTGTGTAGCCTGAGAACAGAACAGACAGAAATGTCGTACAGTGTAAGTCCAGAAAAAGGGAGGTTTTTACCGCAGAGGTCTCTTCTCTCCAAAACAAACAGGTCCAGTGATTTAAACCGGTAAAAGCACTGCATAAAGTAGTTTAACATTTCTTTTCTGATGCCCTCCTCTAACTAACATGGCCGATTCCAAAATGCAAGTGGCCCTTTCTAGAGCCAGTGTTTGCTTTGTCCGTTCTGGGACCCTGCAGAAACATGGTGGTGCAACATAGCGATCTTTGTAGACCTGCTCCCTGTGCAGATATAAACCACTGGTAACAAAACAAAAACACAACCACTTTTATTTTCAGATGATTATACATTAAAGAAAACACATTTATTATATTATACTTCATTTTTGCCAAAACAACCTCCTAAATTATTCACACTGGAGCTAAAAGTCAGTATGTTCAAGCAAAAATACCAGACATTCTCTAATTCCAGTTTCTGAATTGTGAGGATTTGCTGCTTGTCTTCATTTATTGTGACAGTAAACGTGTCTCTAATATAATTGGATTTCAAACTGCTGGTTGGACAGAACAAACACTGTGAAGGTGTCACTTTGGGCTCTGGCTCATTGTGACAAACATTTCTCACTATTTTGACAAACCAAACAATCAGTCGATTAATGGAGAAAATAATCAGCCGATTGATCTATAATGAAAATGATTATTAGTTAAAAAGTCAAAAATGAGCTCCACCTCAACCAACTGCAACAGTAAAATCCTGCTAGGGATGTGTGTGATTAGCCGTCTAAACGATTAAACGTCCACCCTCTCGCTAGTCGGCACCAGAAATATTAGCCGGTTAAACCAATTAGTGTTTATGCATGTACGAGGCCGCTTAACTGTCATGCAGCCGCCCGCCACTAGTGGGTGCTACAGAGCGGTCAGACAGCAGTCCCCCTCCCTGCGGTAATCCTCCAGTAGACTGGAGTTTTAAACTGGAGAGATGTCCTCTCATAAACCAGCGTTGTTTGGCAGCACTTTGATCTAGAAAATGAATTCAGCAGCAATGAATCTTTTTTGAGACGTCATATTATTTGTTAACTTTAAGTGAGTTGTTGTCAGATGATGAGCAGGTTTACATTCATACTGCACACAGCAACATGCCTCTTAATTATAATTTACATGTTTTATTAACTTTAAAGTGAACTGATAATTTCTGTCAGATAATCTGCAAGGTTCAATGTGCCCCACATTTCAGAGGCAGTTTATTTATTTTAGATGTTATTTTAATGGTTAACTTTTGACTGAGTTGCCGTCATGTTCACAATCATACTGCACGGAGCAAAGTGTCTCGTACTTCAGCGGCATTTAAAATCCAACATGGCTGTTGAAGATTGTGATTAAAGGCTTCAACAGGCTCTGAATGCACACAGTATTTTTTGGGACAATGTTTCAAATACTTAACAATAAATTGTGCTAAATTTTGACTGTTTTCTGAGTGTTTTTTCTTTTTAAGACGAGTCGACTAGTCTTGTTTAAAATTTTCTTTAAGTCCCCAGGAACATCCCTGACTGACATACTGAAGGAACATTTTTTATCCAGGACTTTACTTGTAACAGAGTATTTTTACAGTGTGGTATTTGTGTTTTTACTAAAGTACTTAATCTGAATACTTCCTCCACTGCAGGTTGCAGCCTTTAGTGCCTACCAAATTTGTTGGGACATTTGTTGACCTCTGTCAGCTTCTCCTTCTGTACAGCAAAAAAATTCTGGTACACACCTGCCTGAACTACAGCAGCTTGTAGTAGACAAATGCCATAAAGTCACATTTTACAACAGGGAAGCAAGTTTTGTAATAAAGGTAGAGATCCAACAGAAACACCTGGTGAACACACGCAATTATAGTAGATTAATAACTCGTTCAACAGAGTCGGAGAGTGAGATTTTTGAGCCCCACATCTCAGTGACTGGCCCCTATATTCATTAAGTGTTGAACAGCAACCTTGCCAAACCTAACATATGAAATGCTGGTTATTATACACTGGCAGAATAAACCTCACATATGTTTATGTGACTTAGAGTTAAAGTGACTCTTGTTACAAGTTGAGGAGGAAAGCTGCAGCCGAGTCGAGCAGCTTGATTCAAGTCCTCGAGAGATGAGACGAGGCGAATCAAGGCGGCATGTTGGCCTAGTTTCAGCGTCCAGATCATTCTGTCGCTCATGCATAATGAAGAGCACCAACAATTAGCCAAGAACAGGACATAGTTCAATTCATCTTTTATACACTAGAGTTGAGTTTACAGATTTGTCATACGTGTAAGGGGAACAATATTTCTTTCAGTCCTTGAAGAACTATTTGTTCATCCAACATCAGTGGGCTTTAATGTGATGTGCTGAAGAGCCCTTCAAACAGTGCTGCTGTGTTTTCATGCATTTAAAGCCTTTTGCTCCTCATGGTATAAATGACAATACAGATTTTACTTTTTTGTCTTTAATCAGATTCGTAATTGTGAAACACTTGTTTGACTTGTTCTCTTTTTCAGGGAAATGAAGCCAGTTATGCCCTGGACATGTGCTCGCACTGTAAGTATTAATAAATGTCACTCCACCATGTGGTGTTAAATAAAATACCAAACTGTTGAATAACCGTGTGTGTGCTTAGACAAAGGAAAGAGTATCTGTTATCTGTATTCACTTTGAATGTGGTTAAAACCAAAATGAATTGTCCATGAAAAATATATCTGGGCATTTTTTATCTGAAACAAAGGTCAGGTTCAGAAACAGTACCGCAATTAGACTTTTTTAAGTATCTTACGTCAAGTATTAACACATTTTTATGACTCCGCATCATGTTGTCAGTTGTACGTCCATCCATCCATATATTCTATATATGTCCCATTCTTGCGAGTCAAGGATGAACTGATCATATGGGTCATAGGTCAGAGATCAAGGTCACTGTGGCCTTTTTTGTCTTATTGTCGTGACCATGATAAGAGGAACACCCTAAGGGAATTTCTTCATATGTTGGCACAAACATCCATTTTGAGTCAAGGATGAACTAATTAGTTTCTTGGTGGTCATAGGCCAAAGGTCAAGGTCACAGTGACCTTGTCTGTGGCATTTTTGTGAACCAGATATCTCAAGAACACCATGAGGAAATGTCTTCAAATTGGGCACAAATTACCACTTGGACTAGCGATTAACTTATTTATTTTTGGTGGTCAGAGGTCAATGTCACTGTGACCTTGTCTGTCTCATTCTCATGAACACAACCTTGAAGGAATTTCTTCAAATTTGCCATGAACACTCACTTAGATTTAATGATGAACTGATTAGATTTTGCTGGTCAAGGGTCATAGGTTAGCTCACTGTGACCTTGCACACATCTCATTCTCATGAACACAATATTTCAAGAACAGCATGAGGGAATTTCTTCAAATTTGGCACAAACATTCACTTGGACTCAACGGTGAACTGATTAGATTTTGGTGGTCAAAGGTCAAAGTTACTGTGTCCTAAAAAAATGTCCGCTGATTATGAAGAAATGTCACACAAATGTCTAACAGGATAAAATGATGAAATTATGACATTTTCTATCCAAAAGGTCAAAGGTCAGGTACGCCGAGACAACATAACATTCTGCAAAAACACTTTTCTTGCCATTATTTACTGTCATATCTCAGGAACAGATGGAAAGACCTTTGGTTAGATGCTGAATTGGTGACTCTAATCTTGTGTGTCCACCTTGGAGCTGTGCTGACTGTATAGATCTTCTGTGCTCTTGGGGGAAGACGTGTGTGAAGCATTCACGTTTATGCAAATTGACAGGTTCGTGGAAACACACAAACTCAAGGAGTTAATTCAACAAAACATTCACAACCAAGGCAAATATCAAATACATCACTTGGTAATATTGTCAAACAGCTGCACATAAACTTTAAATATAGTGCAGAATTAATAGATTTAGGCCTGATGAAATATTATCTGCCAAGTGTTGGGCAGGTTTTGATCATCTTTGCCACAGACACAATATAAACAGAACTCAAAGTGTTGAAGTTTGATACCCTGCACTATTGGATAGTGATCATCAGGGGAGAAACCAGACATGTTTTCATTGAGTGTGGGATACGATGGTGGCCTGTGATGGATGTGAACGTCACCACATGCTGCACCTTCCTCTGCAGGCCTCTGCCAGCAGCCTGACTCCCAACACTCTGAGGCTAAAAATGCCTCATCGCTCTGTAAAGGTCAGTGTCAGGGCTGTTGGGAAAACCACCTTTATTTTTAGGCACGGCAATATCCCAGTTTTAATTAGTCGGTCGCTTTGCTCTGACCCCCCCCAACTCCGGAGAGGAAAGCTTGACGCTTAATTAGAAAATAATGACTGTAATGTCTGGACTTCTTTTTGAGTAGGAAGATTGAAAGCTGAACTTTGGTCTCAAAATTACGTCAAACTCTGCTGGTGTTGGATACGTTTGTTGAGTGCGTGGGAGGTTTGAGGGGTCTGCACCCTAATGAGCTGTTAAGAAAGGTGTCAGAGACTGGAGGGAGATTTATGACCTGTGCTCTGTCTCTGCTCTCCTCATGCGGCCTGTTGATTTCCAGCGCAGCCTTTTCTTGAACCGTGTGGCCTGGAAAGTTGATACCAAATCTTTGGTTTTCTAATCTGTGAGCAAGTCCAGACCCTGTTGTGTGACTGAGTCTTGTGGCAAAGTCACACCGGCAGCGCTCAAGTGTATCACCGCTCACCTAACCTCACCTGTGTATTTGGAAGGGTGTCTGGTTTGACGCCCTTTAAAGGGGAGACTTGAGCGGCAGGGTTCAGTCTGGCAGAAGGTGCTGTATTTTTCCAGTCCACTGACAGACTTTGCCTGCTCAGGGATATTTATGGGGAACTCCGATGCTGCCACGCCTCGACTCCCCACCCTTCTTTTCTTTCAGGACCAGCAGTTCAGTGCAGCTGCTTTCCTTGTTAAAAGCAGATCTGCCCTGCTGGAGTTACCCACTCGTCCATCACGTACACGAGGATGTGGGCAGCACAGGCTGTGAAGAAAAGACTGCAAGCCAGTTAACATAGATATAAAGAATCCATCACTCCACAGGGCGTCTTAAATGTTTAGTGACGATCTTATCCAGAGGTGCTTTTAAAGAACCGAACAAAGGTTGATATCAACACACATCTCTTCCTGTCTCTCTCCATATTGCTCTGTATGCTGCTTTGATGTAAAAATACTCTGACACAGATTTGATGTATATTTGGCATGTTACAGGAGATAAATGATCAATTAACACAAGGACACAGGATTGAAACTGTGAAAATGTACTTTTAATTTCATTGGGACTGTAAGGATTACAACATTAAATTATAGCAGTAACAAAATACAACTTAGGTGTAAACCAGGATTTTCTATTCAGTGTTTGGCGCTCAAGTCTCCATTTACTCAGGTCTTGTGTTCAACAACTAGTTTTTTAAAATCATATATGTACAGATTCATTTGACTCATAAATCATCTCACCAGTATTCAGAAAACACATCAAAATTGGCCAAAGTGACCACAATCAACTAAATACAAGATTCTGTTAGCATCGATTATAATCAATACTGTAGGAATGTAATAGCCCTCTTAAATGAAGATTTATGACACATTTAGCAATGAACATTATTAACATTCATTCAGTTAAATATTAACAATGTGTTTTTGGTGGCTACACATCAAATGGAGAAAGAAAAAGGTGAAGACATGTTGCATTTTTATTTTAAACGAATCCACTCAAAACTTATCTTGGGATTAGGGGTCACCCAGAATAATCTATATTTGACAATTCAATCTGAGGAGCCTAATTTAACTTAAGGCTAGTAGTCCTCCACTCTGGATATACACACACATCCACGACAGCACTGGATTGAACCTGTCCTATTATTATAATTGTTATGTCATATTGGACAGATAGATGTTTAATTGGGTGTTTCAGTTCTCTCTTCTAGTGTGGGGGAAAAATGGAACCAGTGTCAGTAGCAACTCATACTGTAATAAATTTGCATGTTGTAATACTTTTAATGTAATAAAAGATCGTAATGTATGAAAATTGTTAGCGCATATTGTTATAACAGTTATACCCCTAATGTGATAAGTTATTAAGCATCAGTTTGCAAGGACTACATTAAAACAGATGTGTATCTCGGTGGTGGGCGTTAAACTGTTGAATTCTCTACCGATTGATTTAAAGGGTTGTCTAAATATTTTTGAGTTCAAGAAAATGTAGAAAGACAGAACAGTTGGACTATATGCAGTCGTTAAGCAGAAGCTGTCCCCTTGTTGAAGGGGACAGCTTCCCTGTTTATTTATTTTTTTTGAAGTTACTCTAAGTAATGGTTGTTAACTGTAATATTTTTATTTCTTTTGATTATTTGTTTTGAGAGATGAGCAGGTAAAATAAGATTATCTTCTCCCTGCTCCTTTTCGGTCATGAGAGGGCTGCAACTAACGATTATTTTCATTGTCAACTAATCTGTCGATTGTTTCTTCGATTAGTTGACTAATCGTTTTATCGAAAAATGTGTTAAAATGTTGGAAAATGTCAGTCTGTCTCTCCCAAACCCCAACATTATGTCATCAAATCTCTTGTTTCATACTCATGCCAAAGGGTTTTAGTTCACTGTCATGGGAGAGTGTGTAAAGCTGCCAATATTTGAACATAAGAAGCTGCAATGAGAGTATTTTGGGGTACTTTTATAGTACTTTTCTATGAAAAATGACTCAAACCGATTAGTCAACTACTAAAATAGTCACCGATTATTTTAGTAGTCAATTAATCGTTGTAACCCTAGCGTCATGTAAAACTTGAAGGGTTCCTATGCTTTAAAAACACAATGAGAGTTCTCTCTTTAAAATTGTTACCCTTTGTATTGAATGTATTATATTATTCAACATTTTTTGGTCGGTTTAAAATTGAATGATTTTTTTCAAAAATACCCTATTACGTTTTGCACAAAACTGTTATCACGCTATGCTCTCATATTATGTTATGATTATGTTATGCGCATAATATAATAATCAGCGCATAACATAATCAGCGCATATTATGTTATGCGCTGATTATTATATTATGCTCAGTTATTACATTAAATACATTTATTATGCAATGAGTTTCCACAATGTTGCAAATGAGAAAACAAAATAAACCAAAAACAAAAAAGCATGAATTGACATTCAGTTGACGACAGGCAGGATTTGACCAATCAGAATGGACTATGTAAATTCTTAGTGGACACCCCTCCTTAGGATATTTGGTGTCGGGGCAGCACAGTGATGCAGTGGTTAGCGCCGTTGCCTCGTAGCAAGAAGGTTCCAGGTTTAAACCATAGATGTATAAAGAGAACTGGATACAGTGTTGGCGTCAGGGTCGCATTGATTCTTACTAAAGTTGCTCAGCGACGCTTGAAGCCAAAAAAGCTTGATCTCTGTGGTATGAAATTACCTGAATCTTTTGCATTGTGATAAAGCACGAGTCATTTATGGCTGCCAAGTGGTCAACTTCTGTGGGTTAAACCGCTAACTTCTGATTTAGTCCTCCTCTAACTT